TTTGGTTAGTTTGGCCCTGAGCCTTAAATATTGGAACAGGCTAATGTGGAGGATGAATTTCGATGAGAACTTCCTCGCTTGGGTCCATGGATAAAACAGGATGTAGGGAGGAGGGACGGGTGGGGGATTGGTCTTGGAATACCAGAGACTTTTCAGCTACTTGGGCATTACATTTTCATCACCTCTCAGAAGTGGATTAAGACCTCTGAGGACAGTGAGAAAGACACCAATTTACCTATCTGTGTTCAATTCTACTTGCTTGGGCTGAGAAGAGATAGACATGGGGCATCAAATTTCCATTCTGGGCAGGGGTGAGGGGAGAGTGAAAGATAGTCCAGAGAGGAAACAGAGGTGGTTTAGCTTTTGGGAAGATTGGCTTAATGGGCCCATAGTGGTTAAGGGCCCGGTGCTCCATCATTCACAGCCATGAAGGCAGCCTGTTACATCCGGGCACCTAGCTGTGACATAGGCTCACCTGTGTGCGGGGAGGCCAAGAGGCTCATCTCCATGGGTAGGAGCCAACACTTGAGAGTTGGAACCCGAATGTCCTAGGATTCCTTTCTCCTTCCCTTCCTCCTTTTTCACTTACAGAATGGCAGAGAAGAGGAAACAATATTTACAATGTGCTGAACCTTGACAAATACTTAATGCCTGTGTGCACTTTGTATTACATGTTATTTCATCTGTTTCTCAAAATATCCCTACAGAGGGAGACACTCAAAATTCTGCTTCCATAGAGAGGCTCACTCACAAGATGCCATACTCAGTAAGAGGGCCGGGCAATCCAAAACTCTGTAGTCCGTGCTCCTCTAGTAAATAAGGTCTCAGTCCAGACTCTTAGAGCATCTGGGAGGGGATGAGGTGAGATTGTTATGCAGGAAAGGGAGGTAGGCTTTTCCTGTGAGAGGCAGCTTTGACCCCTCTGCGGGAAGTGTGCCCAGGCCTCCCACTCTGCCCTAGTTCTTCTGTGATGCGAGGCCTCAAGGCAGCCCGGTGTTGAGATGCACAGGGAGGACTGCCTGCCTCCTGAGGCTTTATTTAGCCCTTGGCTGGTTCTCCCCATCTTATACAACGACCGCTAGTCTGTGAGGTAAGAGAGTAACGACTTTTCAGTATCTTGGCTTGCTTCTCTGCAAAATATGTACCATAGTCTGCTCTTTCTATGTGGACTATGAAAAAGAGCTATTATTTGTACTGAGTACTCTTAAGTGCATAGCAGCGTTTCTTCAAACACTAGTTCATGTGGGGGCTCCCACCCCCTGAAACGCAGCAGGCCACCAAGTCTCATTTCCAGGGAGTGTCATTTAAAAGCCAAAAGCAAGCTGACTACACACTTTTTAGCATGTACCTCTCTCATCTGCTCAGCAGAAATCCCTGTAACTTGTTAATAGTTCCCTTCTTATTTTTTTGTAGTGAAACCAATTGCGGCCTTAAATCAATACCATTCGTTCCATCTTGAGCCATCTGAGAAAACCATTTAGAGTTGTAAAAAGTCATCTGCTCCATCTTGCCCTTCCTGCTGCGAGGCCAGGGCCAGAGCTGATGGAGTATCCCTAGAGCAGGACAGTGCAGTGTGCTGAATGGGTGGTCTCTTCGGGGACCGCATAAACACCAGATCTGGGGGAGAGCAAGGATGGACTTTCAAAGAGTGGAGACCAGATACATGTCCCATAAAACACAAATCTCTTTACAGCTGGAGTCGAGTTTCTCCATTTGTGCCATTGCACTTATTTCCCTGAAGCTCATAGCGTTTAGGGTAGAAGAGGAGGAAAATGTGTAGAGTGCCACTTGCAGAGCGGGAATCTCTGAATTTCCCATAAGGCCCTGGAGGCAGGTCACTCAGGGGTCCAAAAACAAGAAGTAGGAGATGTCCTTCCACATGCTTCCCAGTCGTCCCCTTCCCAAACTCCTTTACATCAAAATGGTTCCTTGAAAAGTCCTTGCTATTGGTCATTCACATTGTAGAATAAATTTAATCCTCAGATGCCAATAGAATTCTGAGAAGGACAGAAACAGAAGCCTGTCAGTTTGAGACCCTCTGTCACAGATGAAGAGAAGGAAGAAGCAGCCCACATTGCCTGGGGTCATGAGCTGAAGGGAGGCCAGTGGACCTAGAATTACTTTGGTTTACTTCTCACCTTGGTATATACGATAATGCCTTACCTCAATTTGTGGAATAAAAATCTTCTTACCTCTCTTAAAGGAATTTAAGGCATAAAGAAGAAACAGGATGGAGAATTTCCTGAAATGACTCTAAAATCAGCAATTGTTTATTCTTCTATTTTGGAAGTTCATTGGGGGGAATTTTTTGACCAAGGAAGAGATGATATTAGTTGGGTTTTATAGAAACTCAACTCTGAAGAAACTATTAACGAGCTAAATTTGAACTTCCCCAGTCAATACCACTACCATATTTGTGGGTGTAGGCTGAGGCTAAAAATGAAATTTAGGTTTCTCTTTGAGGTTATCTGCCCCTTGGTTTGCACATCTGGACCCTCCTCCCTGACACGCTGTGGATGGTTTCTCTGGATCTCAGTATTTCCAGAAGGCTGCTGGTTTTCTTCACATTTCTCTCACTGATAAAAAACCTTATTCCTGCTCCTTTATACTTAAAATGTCCTTTACCTTTCTATAGCTGCTCAGGTTCTAAGAATCCTCACGAGAGTTGTGGATGAGCTAGGGGCACCATGCTCCTTGGGGGAATCAGGGCTCTCACAACTCTGGAAAACTCCCAACCTTGTCCCAAAGGAGGAATTCCATCATGGTAGAGTTCCTATATGGAAGACAGAGCAGCCTCCCATTCTGGAATTCAAATGAAAGATCCGGCAGCCCCAGCATTCACCATTGCCTTTAACTGCCAATGGGTGGGGCAAGATGGGCTGTTGCCCAGTTGCTCCGTAGCCCTGGGAAAGGAGAGGCTCTGAAGGGTCATTTTTGCCTTCTGAAACTATCTGAGTACACATGTGAAGTAAGTAGGTTGGGTTGAACTGGCCCTTCCTTTGTTGCTGCTTCAGCCCCCGATCCAGATCTAACATCCGCATGTCCGAGGAGCAACTCTGTCAAATACAGTGTTAGGAACTTGAGGAGATGAAAGGGACCTGGAGGTCTGCTCACCCTGAGTGTGGTCTTCATACCAGACATCAGCATCAGTCTCAAATGCAAATTCTCAGGCCCTGCCCCAGACCTATAGAATCAGAAGCCCTGGGGTAGAGTCAGCGATCTGTTTTAACAAGCTTTTCATGTGATTCTCATACAGCTTAAAGGTTAAGAATCACCCTGATGGGTGCTTTGAAATAAGGAATTTGGTTGGTATCACTGGTTTTCAACCCTGGCTATACATCAGAATCCTTTGATTCTCATGTAGTTGGTCTGAGATGGGATCTGGAACTTAAAGCTCATGGCTTCTCTTAGCTTGAGAACTACTGGATCCGATTCAGTTTCTCATCTTCTGGATAAAGAAGCCCAGAGAATATAGGGATGTGCCCAGGGTCACATGGAGGTTTTGTGTGGCAGGCTGGGAGAAAGGAGGGCTCCTGACATTGTGACCTATCTGGACTCGCCCTAACAAACATCCCAAATCCACAAACTACATTTACAGTCTTGGTTCCAATCTCTGAGATGCAGGACAGGCTTTTCTAGAGGGAGATTAGCAGAGCCTCTGAATTATAATGATTTAGTTACAGGTTAGCTTTGTTTTATGCTAACCTAGCTCTTCTGGTTGTGCTCATAATATCTTTCATATGACTGGACTTTGGTCCCACACCTCACCTCCTCATAATACCTGGGCCTCCTGCTCAGCCTTTCCAGGCCTCAACCTTGATTTGGCACATTGCCCCAGTACCCCATTTTCTTTCCAGGTGAGGGCCTGAGATTTGGTATGCTGTGTTTTTAGCTGGAGGACTAAATATGGCAAGGTCAGCAATAGTCCCAGGTGACAACATGTAGTTAATGCATTTCCATGCACAATGGGGGGAAGATGAACTGGTGGATTTTAAAGCTGGTTGTCAAGAGGTTGTACTGGAAAGTGAATTTGCTCATGAGAAATGACAATGTCAATATTGGAGGGCTTATTTTTTCCTTTTAAACAAGACTTTGAGGACACACACAGACACAAGAGTTTAGTGTTCTTTTGTGTCCCCTCTTTTGGACTGTGTGTGTGTGTGTGTGTGTGCCCATGTACCTGTGCACAGGTAGAATCACTTGACCTAAGTCTGCCGAGTTAAGAGAAAGTGATGATTCTATAAAAATCAGCCCATCTTGGGCATTTGAGGGCACCTGCTGCCTGGCTTGCATCTGGCCTACACAGGCTCCTCTTAAAAGGCCTCTGACTCACTCTGGAAAACAGTATGGAGGTTCCTCAAAAAGTTGAAAATAGAGCTACCCTACAACCTAGCAATCACACTACTGGGTATTTACCCTAAAGATATAAATGTAGTGATCCGAAGGGGCATGTGCACCCGCATGTTTATAGCAGCAATGTCCACAATAGCCAAACTATGGGAAGAACCTAGATGTCCATCAATAGATGAATGGATAAAGAAGATGTGGTATATATACACAATAGAATACTATGCAGCCATCAAAAAGGGGAAAAGCTTGCCATTTGCAATGACGTGGTTGGAACTAGGGGGTATTATGCTGAGCAAAACAAGTCAGGGAAAGATAACTGTCATATGATCTCTCTGATATGAGGAATTGGAGAGGCACGATGGGGCGTCATGGGGGCAGGGAGGGAAAAAATGAAACGAGATGGGACTGGGGAGGGACACAAACCATAAGAGATTCTTAATCTCAGTAAACAAACTGAGGGTTGCTGTTGGGGAGATGGGGGAGGGATAGGGTGACTGGGTGATGGACATTGGGGAGGGTTATGTGCTATGGTGAGTGTTATGACCTGTGTTAAGACCGATGATTCACAGACCTGTATCTCTGAAACAAATAACATATGTTAATTTTAAAAAAGGCCTTTGGCTCAATGGTATTCATCTTTTATTTTTTAGGGGGCAGCACAGGCACATCCCCGACCACCTCCAGCACTGGGACACCATCCCCTTCAGCTTCTTCTCACCTTTTATCTCCATCCTGTTCTCCTCCAACATTTCATCTGGCCCCCAACACTTTCAATGTGGGCTGTCGAGAGAGCCAGCTGTGCAATCTAAACCTCTCTGATTATCCACCATGTGCCCGAAGCAACATGGCGGCCTTGCAGAGCTACCCAGGGCTGAGTGACAGTGGCTACAACAGGCTCCAGAGTGGCACAGCTTCAGCCACTCAGCCCTCAGAAACCTTCATGCCTCAGAGGACTCCATCCCTGATCTCAGGAATACCGACTCCTCCCTCGTTGCCTAGCAACAGCAAGATGGAAGCCTACGGCGGCCAGCTGGGGTCCTTCCCCACTTCCCAGTTCCAGTATGTCATGCAGGCTGGCAATGCGGCCTCCAGCTCCTCGTCACCACATATGTTTGGGGGCAGCCACATGCAGCAGAGCTCCTACAACGCCTTCTCTCTCCACAACCCTTACAATCTCTATGGATACAATTTCCCCACTTCTCCCAGGCTAGCTGCAAGCCCAGAAAAACTGAGCGCCTCTCAAAGCACTTTACTCTGTTCTTCTCCTTCCAATGGGGCCTTTGGCGAGAGGCAGTACCTGCCCACAGGGATGGAGCACAGCATGCACATGATCAGCCCTTCGCCCAATAACCAGCAGGCGACCAACACCTGTGATGGCCGGCAGTACGGGGCGGTCCCAGGCTCCTCCTCCCAGATGTCCGTGCACATGGTTTAATGGCCCGTCCAAACACCAGGTAGCCCACTGCAGCCAGGGCCCCAGCGTCTCCATGAGCAGATCTTCCTTTCTGGGAGCCGAAGCCTTTGAAAAATGGGAACTGTGTTTTTTGTTTTTTGTTTTTTGTTTTTTTTTCTGGAGGAAGAAAGCACATACCCAAGAACAACAAAAGACATTTAAGCCACTGAAGGAAATACTTGCAGTGGAGTCATCTCCGACTCAGTGGCCATTCTCCTGCCTTCCCAAACCTTAGTTTTATAAAGCATTGCCTACTCCAGAGTGGCCTTTGAAGAAACTGAATAATCATTTTATAATAATGTTAAGGGAGATGCTAGCATGTAGCAGCCATGAAAAGTTACCCTGACATGAATACAGACCTACCTGTACATGCATACAAACATACATACATACATACATACATACGTGCATGCATGCATACACATATATATTCACACAAACTCTTACACCAACACACAAGCACACTGACTTGGAAGGGGGTGAACTGTGTGCAGGGGGGCCCAGGTGGGGGCTTTCACCAAGAATCCATCTCTACAACAGTAGATGGACTGGGGCAGCAATGGCAGTCAACCTTTCTGCCCCGTAGCCCACCCCGTTTCTGGAACGAACCGTGTATCCTGGAGCCCCTTCTGGTCCATGAGGGTAGACAGACATCAGCACTACAACTGGACTTGGCTTCCTGGAAATGATTGCTTTTGAACTTTGGCTCTCCTCACTTGGCGTGCTATCGCTGATGTTCCCGGGGTGCCTGTGAAAAGGGAGTAAGAGCAGCCGAAGGAGAAAGGAAGAGAAGGAGTAGTGAGCAAGAGAGAGAGGTGGAAAGCAAGACTGAGAGAGGAAGTGTGAGCAATGGTGAGAGTTGTAATGTATGGAGGAAATTGGTTTTGGTTTGGTCCCCCCTTCTTCCCCCACTACAGGTTCTAGAAAGAATCGTGGCATCACGGAGGAGTAAACCTCTCTGGGACATTATGCAGAGTTGGGGCACTGGTGACAGGGACCGGGGCAAGGAATGCACTTCCATCTTGCAGTTCTGACCACTGTTTTCCAGAAGGGGGGGGTGCCCCGTGTGGGCAGTGCTAATTCCAGAGCCTGCAGCTGGCAGGGGAGGGGGACCGGAAGGAGTATGAAGAAGGAAGGGTGTTATAAGCCTGACAGATGATACCAAGAGCAGAGGTGACATAAAGAGGCCTGGCCCTCCACATGCCAGATCCAGACACCTGACCTGGATCGCCTGCCCCGTAGACCGCTGTGGCAGAAGAAATCCGGGCTCATCCCAGGGAATTACAGATGGGTCTTCTCCATCCTTCCACCTGCCCTTAGATCTCCAATTTTTTTCAAATAGTTCATTGCATTTTGAAGTTTTGGGTTTTTTCCTTCATCTTTCCCTTCCCTTTCAGATCCTTTAATGTTAAGAAAACAAGTGAAGTTTGGTGCAGGCTAAACTTTTTAAGTGGTGTGGAAATGCAAATAATACCAAGTAAAATAATAACAGATATTATTAAGATTTTTGGTTTTGAAGTGTTGTAGATAAATGTATTTATGTGCCTAGTGGGGAATCCAATATTATGAATATTAAAAAAGGGGGCAATAAAAAGGGTATGTAAAATATGTATGAAGTAAAGGTGTATAAAAAATTTGCCCTTATGCACGGAACTCTGTTTCTAAGTGCCAAGCACAGAAAGCCGCTAAATAAAATCTTTGCAATTGTCTTATGGCGTGTTTGTATGGAATAAGTAAATAGCAGTATATGCATTTGCGTTGTGCTTTACAATGAGCATGGCACTCTTGTCTCTGCTGCTTGGCGTGATCTTTATGTAGACCTCCTCAAGCAGATTTCTCCATCCTCATTTTGACTAGTGAGGTTGAGTGGATCCTCCGGGATCGAAGAGCCGGTTGGAGAGGGAGCGAGGACTTGAAACCAGGTCTGACTCTAGGGGGCTGTTTGCTTTTGTGCCAGCTGCAGAATCCAGCCAGTCCCAACAGCGACCCTCATCCTGGCCCCGTGCCCTGCGCGTGGTACCATTCTTTATATGTGTATGTCAGCTCATTCCCCCATAATTCTGTGAGATAGGTGTTATTTTGATCATCATTTCAGAGATCTGGAAACAAGCTTTAAAAAAATAAGTATGGGATGCAGGCCCTCGTGTAGCAAGTGATTGAGCGGGCCATTGGAACTCTGGGTCTGTGCCTGGTTCTGCTGCCTGAGCCGCCCCCCACCCCTGGCCCCCGCAATCCTGTTGGGCACTTGGACAATCAGGAAAAAAGTTGTGTCCTGAGGCAGTGAGATGAGCGGGGGTCTGAGGCTGTTTGATCATACACTTACACCCCACCCCTCCCCCCACCCCGGCCCCACTTTAAAAGCGCCTCCACAGCCCCTGGAGGGAGGGATTTTTGAATCACCCCATACCAAATGACAACTTAGACCAACAAAGCACCTCAGGCTGTTCCACTTAGAAGCACTTTCTCATATCCCCCCCCCCCCAATGTTTTCTCATTTAATCCTCACAGTAACCACTGGGGGATGGACAAGGTAGGAAGTATTGTTTTGCAAATGGGAGACCAGTGGTTGGACTGTTTCTCCCTAGACAATGACACTGGGAGCCCACTGACCCATTTTACCTGGGCTTGATTTGGGGGGTCAGGTTGTCCACTACCACACTCATTCACTGGAAACGGAGCTTGGTTTGGGAGAGCAAACACTTTTATCATAGCATTGGTTTTATAGATGACTTCAAAGACTGAAAGGCTGGACAGTTTCCATCAGCTATTACATGGTTGCCGAAAGACCTGGAGCAATAATAGCTGATGAGAATCTCCATGGATTGTAGGTGTGACATGTCTTAAGACTTAAAAAGGCACCATTTATGTGGAAATCTTGCAGTCAACCTTTGATTCATAAGGGCAGACTGAAAACAACTACATATAAAGCTTATAGTTATTTCTTTCTGATTTAGCTGCATACCAAATATTATGCACTGTTAGTGTTTTAGGTTTCAGGTCACAGATAATCATCATATGCCAAGGAGCAAACTTTACACAGAAATGTCCATATTTTAGGGGCACCTGGGTGGCTCAGGGGTTAAGCCTCTGCCTCTGGCTCAGGTCATGATCTCAGGGGCCTGGGATCGAGACCCGCATGTGGCTCTCTCCTCGGTGGGGAACCTGCCTTCCCCCTCTCTGACTCCCTCTCTGCCTTGTGATCTTTGTTTGTCAAATAATTAAAATCTTAAAAAAAAAAGAAATTTCCGTATTTTCTTTGAACAGAGTAAGAATTTCAATAATCATTTATGAGTGTTAAGTACAGAAAATTTCTGTAATTTGGATTAATTAGAACACTCCAAGTCAATTACATCTCAATTATGGCATATGTCTTTATAAGTGGTAAAGTAATAAAAATATTTCTTTTAACAAACTGGATAAAAAATTTTCAAGAATATGCTGTACTCAATTCTCTTTAATGGAATGGTGAAAATTCTTTATGATTGGCACACTGAGTACATATAAAGAGCTATTAGAAAGCTATTCCACCCTTACTCGTGTTTCTGGACAAAAGTCTGTCTTGTTCCTCTTTGCATCCTTGGAAAGTTTGTGGCCCAGTACAGATTCTCAATACATAGTCATTTTTACTGCTGAATTTGTTGGCCAAGCCCATTTTTCAAGGATAGCGCAAGATGGTTGCATGGCTGAATTATCACTCTCTCCAAATTAATGGGCCCAAATGAACAAAGATTATCATTCATATGACATTCCATGGAAGAGTAATATAAATTCAACTTGCATACTAGCTTGCCAGGATCCACAAGTACATAATGGAGGAGTAAAAAAAAAAAAATGTGATAATTTCTTTCTTAAAAGGTTTACTTTCCAGGCAGTCATGTGCCTGTGGGGCAAATGACGTGAAAGACTAAAAATTCAGAGGAGATGCTCAGGGTAAAAGGTGAGGTTGGAACTGTTTTCACTGGGGGGGGGGTGGGGAGAGGGTAGAATGATGGAGTTTGAATGATGCTCAGCATTTTTATTTTTTATTAATTTATTTTTAAAGATTTTATTTCTTTATTTGTTAGAGTGAGAGAGAGGTTGAGAGAGAGAGAGAGCACAGGCAGAGCGGCAGGCAGAGGCATAAGGAGAAGCAGGCTTTCTATGGAGCAAGAAGCCTGATGCGGGACTCTATTCCAGCACACTGGGATCATGACCGGCACTGAAGGCAGCCGCTTAACCAGCTGAGCCACACAGGTGTCCCAATGCTCGGAATTTTTGTAGAAGGAATGGCAAGTTAAGAATGAAAGAACTCAAACTCAACACACACAAAACAGATAATCATATCAAAAAATGGGCAGAAGATATGAACAGACACTTCTCCAATGAAGACATACAAATGGCTATCAGACACATGAAAAAATGTTCATCATCACTAGCCATCAGGGAGATTCAAATTAAAACCACATTGAGATACCAGTTAGAATGGACAAAATTAGCAAGACAGGAAACAACATGTGTTGGAGGGGATGTGGAGAAAGGGGAACCCTCTTACACTGCTGGTGGGAATGCAAGTTGGTGCAGCCACTTTGGAGAACAGTGTGGAGATTCCTCAAGAAATTAAAAATAGAGCTTCCCTATGACCCTGCAATTGCACTACTGGGTATTTACCCCAAAAGTACAGATGTAGTGAAAAGAAGGGCCATCTGTACCCCAATGTTTATAGCAGCAATGGCCACGGTTGCCAAACTGTGGAAAGAACCAAGATGCCCTTCAACGGACGAATGAATAAGGAAGATGTGGTCCATATACACTATGGAGTATTATGCCTCCATCAGAAAGGATGAATACCCAACTTTTGTAGCAACATGGATGGGACTGGAAGAGATGATGCTGAGTGAAATAAGTCAAGCAGAGAGAGTCAATTATCATAAGGTTTCACTTATTTGTGGAGCATAACAAGTAGCATGGAGGACATGGGGAGTTAGGAGAAGGCAGTTGGGGGAAATTGGAAGGGGAGGTGAACAATGAGAGACTATGGACTCTGAAAAACAATCTGAAGGGTTTGAAGAGGTGGGGGGGTGGGAGGTTGGGGGAACGAGGTGGTGGGCATTAGAGAGGGCACGGACTGCATGGAGCACTGGGTGTGGTACAAAAACAATGAATACGGTTATGCTGAAAACAAATTTTAAAAAAATTTAAAAAAAATGAAATAACAACTTTAAAGTCAATCAATAAATAAGTTTTGGAAGAAAATGATAGCATCTCAATTCAAGCCTAGTAATTTAATAAAAAAGAATTCAGAACCTTCTTGTAGCTCATAGACTAATAGCCTCTTCGTTGAAACAGTTCATCATTAGTGAGCACATAGAGGGTAGACATGGAAGGGCAGAGGTGCTTGGCTGATGCTGAATGTTTGATTCATTGCTTAGCACTTGGAGGATTCTAGAGAAGCTCTGCTGTACTAATTTGCATTCAATAAACTAAAGGAGAGTTGTCCTCCTAAGGAAACCCAGCCACAAAGCTAAATTTTCACAAAGTGTTGGTGCTTACGGTTGTTGGTTGGAGATCTGATTTCCAGAGAGGGCCATACCTGTGACCGGCTACATTAGTTCATCTGGTTCAATGTCAATAAACATGTATTTCATGCCTAGTCTATATCAAGCACTGCCCTTGGAATGAGGACATAGAGGTGAACAATTAGACACATGCTTGATTCTGAGGAATTCATGGTCTAGTGAGAGATGGCTACGGGATACCCTAACAGACAAATGAATAATATAATTTCAGATTCCAAGAGTCATCTCGAGGGGATTACAAACAACAGAATGATAGAGAGTGATTGGGCAATGAGGATAAGGAATCATTTAAATAGGGTTTTCTAAGAGGGCTGTTCTAAGGAGACGACTTCTGAGCAAGTACACATGCGGATGTCATCTCAGAGTTTGCTTTCTCCAACTTAACTGAGGGCAGCCAGATCCTCACCAGAGGTTGTGCTCTGCTGGTCTTGCATCAGCTGAGGCCGGGGATTTTTATTCTTTGTAGCATTGGTCCTTATTTGCTGAAACCTGGCTGCTGGCCTTCTGGGACCGGGGCCATTTAGAGACTCCTTCAATCTGAATCTGTCTTTTCCATGGCCCCAGTAAAGTCTTAGTTTCATGAATTCCTTGGTCAAGGATGAGAGTCATCCATCCCTTCTGTCTGACTTTGTCAAAAGGTTAACACTAATTATCAAACTATCAATTAATTAATAGCAATCAGATGATTTATGAA